AAGAAAAATAAAATAATCCTGCAGCAGCAGCACAGCCCCGAAGTAATGTGGTCAATGAGAAGCTACATTGTAGCATAAAGTCATCTTACTTTATTGCTGGAACAAAAGCATAATGCAGTTTCAATGCAGGAACAAAACAAAAAAAAAACACCAGAGAGAGAATACAGGCAGATGCAGAATATATGAACAAAGGAATATGCTCCACCTGTATCTGATTGGTAAGACTCAAATTACAAGTATACTAACAGTTAAAGGTACAAGCCTACCAACTAAACATAACCAAGTCATTCTATGAACTATATAATTTTGCAAACATTATAATACTTTCAACAAGACAGGCCCCATCCCTCCCCTCCTTTCATTAGAGCCTGAAGACCTGGTGGTTTAAACAAGTTCTAGCTCAGCCCCAGATACTGTTGAATATGGCCATATCTTTTTCTACTAATTACCCAAGTTACTTCCTCCTATTAGGCCCTGGAAATGAACAGCCATAGACTCTACCTAATTTCCCGGGCCCTTTACAAATTGCACTAGCCTCAGCCCGGCCTTTTAAATTGCCTTGAACAGGCAGGATTATATATATATATATATATATATATATATGCATGCTATAGTGATTTTTATGCTTATATTGTCTTGTTAATTTTATGTTTATGTTGTTTACTTTGTATGTATTGATGATGTTACTTGAAAACTTCTCTGAGTCCCCTCGGGGAGATTGTGCGATATATACATAAATTTTTGTTGTTGTAGTAGTGTCATTTCCCATTGCTGCTAGTGGTTAGTAACTGTTTGGCATCCTAAATATTCTAAAAGTTTACAATAATATGGTACAATTTTTTCAGAACAAAATTATTGGATCTTTTTCTGTTGTGTTTCTTAGCTCTTATGATTTTTACTCTTGTTTTACTCTGTCTTCTCACCATCCCTCTCCACAAATTACTCTCCACAGTTCATATGTAAGAGTCTTATGACTCTTGAGACTGACACAGTTAAGTCTATATGAAAGACATTATAAATTTCCATTTCTAATTTGTAGTCCTGTGTAGTCTCTGTGAGAGAAGTAAACATACGGTAAAGCCAGTGATGTAAACTCAACTAGACACTAATATCTGTTTCTTATACACGAAATTGAATTTGACAATTTTTGACTAGACTTAAGATTAGTTTGAAAAGTCATACAAACGTAGTCATTGCAGTGTTAGTGAGACAGAACATCTGCTATTATAATTAAAACAATTATTGTTCAACCTTGCGTGGTTTATTCTGCACTGTTTCTCCATCATGATGATGATTTCTGTAATATTGGAAAAAGATAAAAGCAACTCAAGGAATTTTCATTGATGTTGCAGTGGCCTTAGTTATTAACTGAATGTTGTTGCAGAAGAAATATAGCTGGTAGGTTGTCCTTATCATTAAATAAATGACTGTTTCAAAAATGTGCATAATAATAACAACAATAATTTTATTTCTTACCCGCCTCTCCTCACAGTTCAAGGCAAGTTAAAATATTGCTAAAACACACAATCAAAACACATAATCATTTAAAAACACTCTGTAAAACATACATATTAAAACATATTTCCATAAAATACATATTAAAATACACAAAACAAAAGTTAGCCATAGAGTCGAAGTTTAAAATTCATCCTTAAACCTGTCTGAGTAGGCCTGCCAGAAGAGATACATCCTCACTTGTGTCTTAAATTCTGACAGCTGTCAGAGCTGTACCAGCAGGTTATTCCACAGTCATGGGGTGGCCAATGTAAACATCCTTATTTAATTATTTTTATTTACTCCATTTATACCCTGCCCTTCTCACCCTGAAAGGGGACCCAGAGTGGCTTACAAACTACGGCAAAAATTCAGTGCTGCGTCATGCACATAACAATAAACATATCATATTAAATGATTAAACAGTTAAAACATAAACAGTTAAAAACATATAAAACAGATAAAAACATAGGTGCCAAGTCATGATTTCCAACTTGTTAGTTTTCCTGTAGTCATTATTCAAACTGCTAGGTTAAAGTGTCTTGCTTTGCTCCAGAAACAGTCTTACAACATGAGTAGAAGTAACTAAAAAGATTTACTTCAGCAAAATAATAATAATAATAATAATAATAATAATAATAATAATAATAAATAATGCTGCAAACAGCAGTAAAGGAAGTGGAAGGTAAAATCCAAAAGCAATGTAAGGTCTTACAGCAGACATGAAACAAAAGTCTTTGGCAACAAGTCTTCACAGCAGACAGAAGCAAGAATCTTTGGCAAAGAAGTCTGGTGCAAAGCAATGATGGAGCTGTAGCATGGAGACTGGAACACAAGCACACCAAGTAGGTCAGTTGCTGCCAGTGCTGACTTCTGACTTCACTGCTAATGTATAGCCCCGAGCAAGCAGCACAGATATTCCTACAGCGAGGTCTGATTGCTCAGTATTTTTGCTGTGATTCTAGCTGATCTTCTCCTTTCTTCTTCTGTCCTTCGCTGTTCTAAAAATGTAGGGACTTGTAGTAAAAATTCAAAATGGCATTGACAAATTGGAAAACTGGGACAAACATCTTGGCAGGAATAAAAATGTACAACGATAGGATGGCATATGACTTAAAAGTAGTATATGTGAAAATGATCTTGGGGTCTCAGCAGACTAATTGTTAAAATGTGAGTAAACAAGATGATGCAGTGAACTGTAAGAAGGAAGAAAAGAGCATGAGTAGGTTAATATGACAACTTTTGAAATATCTTAGAAGGCAGTGTAGAAACTGAAGATCCCACCTAAATATTAGGAAGAGGTTTACCTTAAGTACTGTTTTAAGTGTTGGATATACTGGCTGAGATTTTTTAAGAGCAGAAGCCCCTGTGATTCTTTCCAACTCTGTGATTCCATTATTCTAAAAAGGAGAGTCCTTTATTTTGGGAGATCTTCAAATGAGCTAGTAAATGGCACCATCTTATATGTTTAGCCTGTGTGTGTCTTACTTTGAGTCATCTATGATTTTTGGTGACCCATGAAATCCCTCAGATATGGTTTTGCCAATTTTTCCTATGAAATATATCCCACAGCACTTGATAGTCTTTTGGCGATGAGCTGCTTCATTTTCCATACGAGATGGAATTTGGTGCCTTTAGGCATTGAGGCTCTATTTTTGCTTTTGATTATCCAGTATTTTAATTTACATGGAGAGTCCATGTGAGGAAGGAAAATTCTGTGATGCAAACATTCCATCACACACGAAAAAAAGAGAGACGTATTTTTGATGGAGGGGGCAGTGCTGAGCAGGTTCTCTGTGGTTTCCTCTCACATTGGATTCTAATCACAATTTCTCCTTAAGGCTAAAAATCAGAACTGCTGGAATATTTCAAGGTCAAGTGTCATATTTGAGTAATGTAGGTTTGAACTAGCTTTAGGTTGGAACTTGACAGGATCTATTCGCAAACTGGCACTTTCTTAGTTCAACGTGGAGGGTGCATATATCAGAGAAAATAAAAAGGACGAGAGAATGCTTGACCTTGCTTGCACCTGCCAATTGCTCCCTGAAGATTGTTTTCTTCTCAGCTTGTTCCACTTACCTTTGGTTTTGGTGCTCAGTTGGAGAAAAGGCAATTTTTAAAATGGCAGGAGATTAGTTTATCAAACTAGATAACTTATATGTACTTATCAACTACAATCGAAATGTAGAAAGCCATATTTATTTTCAGGGAAGTTTGTAAGGGCTTTATTTCTTCTGTTTTTGAATGAAACACATTAGCACATTTTAAATTAAAGGCTTCTTATTAGCAATTAAGTCATCAGAGTAGCATATTGATATTGTAGAATTAATGTACTGGGTTCAATCTGAGGTCCTCTGGATACTCCTCTTGATTGAAATCCAGCTCTGTTTTAATGTCTTCAGTGAAGACCAACCCCTTCTTAGAATATCCTTTAGAGTCTCTAAGTGAAGGGTGTCACACTCATTTACATTGTAGAGCACATTACACTTATGGTTGCTTTCAAAGTGGACTAGTGGTCGGTGTTTTTCAGTTTTTACTCAGTTTGAGTCCTCAGATGTTGCTGAGCGACAATTCCCATCACTTTTGATTTTCTGTCAAGTGGACTGTGGATATTGGAGATTGCAACCCAACAGAGCTTGTGGCTCAGAAGTTAGAGAAAGGTTAAAGATATTTTAACATCAGACATCATATCCCCAAGTCTTGTATCTAAATTCAAACCCCACTCTCCAGACTAAACAGAACAAACTGCAGCCTTCCAGATGTTACTGTATCTCAACTCCCATAAGCTCTACTCATAATGTCTAATGATGAGGAATACAGGAGTTATCGTCCAGCATCTTGAAGGCCACATAAAATAACATAGCAGGCCAAATTCAGTTTGCAGACCTTGATTTTGACACATGTGTACTAAGTCCTTCTCTTCAGTCTTTTACGTTATTTCCCACACACTCATCTGCAAGCCTTCAACACAACTCTCAACTTTCTGGCATTGGCATGTGGCTGTCTGAATCTCACATTATTTTGTATGTAGTACTCAATCGCTAGAACACCAGTAATTCAGTATTTAAGTGGTAGGAGTTTCAGTGCTTAAATAATCTCTGGAATATAAATGGAACAACTTTCATAGCAGTTTCCTTAAAAGCGTATTTAACATTTAGAGCTATGGATTTTTTATTCTTCATCCTCATGAGGAATCCAAAGCTTTCTATTTTTAATGCGATGTTTAAAAAACCATTCACTGATTCAAATGTAAGATCTCATAACTGTACACACATATTTGAAAGTATGCCTCATTGAATACAACAGGATTTTCTTTTGAATAATTTTACATACTATTTGAATACTTGTTGTTTTAATACATAGAGCATCTAAATTATTTGAGCAGATTTCTTCCTCAAAGCAGTATGTAAAGAGATCTGATAGGATTGACATGATTATTTATTGTTGGTGATGTGACTGTAAGTGTTATTATGTTTTTCTTACACACACATTTCTTTTTTGTATAGAATTTTTCCGAGAACTCCTGGAGAACGCGGAGCGATCCTTAAATGATATGTTTGTACAGACGTATGGCATGCTCTACATGCAGAATTCAGAAGTGTTCCAGGACCTTTTCATAGAACTGAAACGATACTATACAGGAGGCAACGTTAACTTGGAGGAAATGTTGAATGACTTCTGGGCTCGGTTATTAGAGCGAATGTTCCAACTCATAAATCCCCACTATCATTTCTCAGAGGACTACCTTGAGTGTGTCAGCAAATATACAGACCAACTTAAGCCTTTTGGAGATGTACCACGGAAGCTGAAGGTACAAGTAACGAGAGCTTTCATCGCCGCACGGACCTTTGTTCAAGGGCTGACCGTAGGCAGAGAAGTCGCTAACAGGGTATCAAAGGTAATCCAAATGATTTAATTGTTTTTATTGCTAGCTCAGTTGCTTTGCTTGAGACTTATGTCCTATTTCAAGTTGTCATTTAGAGCATACTACTTTTCATCTCTGTCTCAATTATAGCTAAATGGGAAGTTGACTGAAGTGTGAGTAACTATAGCTAGTTTTCTGACATGGATTCTGCCAAAAAGATAACAAAACTGCCTAGGCTTACATTTTTAAAAGAATATTGTGACAATATTCATCTAGTGAAATGTCTTTTATTATCATAAGGCCTATTGTACTAGCCTGCTAGTTCCCCAACTTTGCTTCTTTATCTCTGTCTACCATGAGTCTCAATCTCTTAGAATTGATTGAGGGATGAAAAAAAGCAATATGGAGTACAGCTGTGCTAGAATGATGCCACATCAGATGGAAACTGAACAATTGTGTTCTTGATGCCACATCTGGAAAACTAGTGTAACGAGACATTCTGGAAAAGATGTGATCTAATCCCTCAGTGGTATATTCTAATAGAAGAGAATTGTAGTCAATTGTGCATCCTACAGGGTCTTCAGACAAAAGCCCCCTACTTTCCCTGATCACAGAATGTGGTGGTTGAGAGGAAAGTGTCAAAAGGCATAAGGTTGTCTACCACCAATATAAGTAATCTATTATCTCACATTTGATATTTTTGTTTTTCCCTTCCTATAATTAGCGATGGCGTTCAGATTTGGCATACTAGTGGAGTATTTTATGTTTGTGGTGACAAGTGAGGGAGTTCTAGGTTTTAACATCTGAAATTTTAGAGAGTTTCCATCCCTAAGTTAAACTTTCTGTAGCCTGCTTCTAACTAGTGAGGGCGAACAAGGTAGTTCATTTTATAAAATGAGTAGCATTTGATCTGTCTTGATGAAAGGGGAGAACCCTTCCTGCTCTTTTTGATTAGGGGTGCAGGGTTTCAGTCAGCACTGAGCAAATACATGACCGCTGGGTGGATGGACGCTCCTGAATATACCAGTACTTCTATTCTATAATGAGGTGAATATCCACTCTTACCTATTTGCTTAATGCTGACTCCAGGGCAATTCATCTTATCTGGCACTGAAAGTTATGATTCAGCAATTTTATGCAGTGTCTACTAATAATTTTATCTAATGAGCCATTTACCTGTCTGTCACTTCAACCTATTCAGGAGCTAAAATAGTAGTTAGGGATGAGCATTGCATTCAGATGAATTCAAGATCTTGAGTTAAAGTGAATCTTATGGAAGAGATCTGGACGACATCTACTAGAAGAAGGTATATTATTAATTACTTTGAAGCCAACCTTTGTAGCAATCACTTCCATATAAATGGGGTAGTGAATCCACTCCACATTTTAAATTCAAATGTAAAGGAAGTATCCAAAATAAGTTCGACAACCCTGAGAGCTCTTTTAAAGTTCAGATGTTAAAATCTATCAGAGCAGGTTCATCATCTCATTGATATACTTTATAAGAAATCAGCAGTCACTCTTTCATAGAAATTCAGATTGTGAATGTGCAATATTTCTCCACAATTTCAAAAAAAGTGGGGAAAGGATGGAGAGAGGGAAAGGAGTGAGGGAGAAAACAGGTTGTGATTTTGTAACTGAGTTAGTTTAATCTTCCAAGCTGGGAAAAACTTTACTTCTTTTTAGTTCAGTGCTGGTGGGGTTGCAAAAAGAATTTACCTGAGGCTGTGTCTCTTTATATTCACTGCATTTTGCAACTAGAGGACAGCAATATTACTCCAGGATTCTGCAAATGTCCCGGAGGTCGATAAACTGAGATGTGACGCCTGCACCCACTATTCAATGTCTGGCTGATACTGTCATCAACTTTTCAGGAACTTATTTAACATTTCTGAGACTTTGGCACTGTCAGTTGAGCAGATAATGAAACACTTCTTCCCAAAGCTATTTTTATTCACCATAAATCCCTAGACCGATCCAACAATAATTTTACAGTTTCTTTGCTCAGATACATCTCTATGATATATGCCATTTGCATACAAATTCCCCACAAACTACAGTGGGCAAAAGGGGAAGTAACTCTCCTTCCCCACAAACTTTAAATACTCTCTTGTAACCCCAAAATTTCCCAACTTTGTGAAAAGTGGGAGCTTATTTCCTTAAAGAGAACTGTATTGTATTTATTGTTTCATAAGAAATAGTCTATAAAAACACAGAGGGAGAAAATAAAAACACATTCTTACATGCATTCACAGAGAGAGACCTGTCTGAAATCTGATAGGTTTCAAGCTTTAACCAATTTATCACCCTGAACATTCCTTTTCACATCTGATTTTGGAAGCTTACCAGTTTCAAATCACATTAGTTCTTTGATGGGTATCTGCCAAAAAAATACTACAGAAATCTAAATAGACTTGGTAGAGGTTGGGAAAGAAACCTGAAACCCGGGAGAGTCACAGATGCCAGATAGAATTGACAGTAGAAGACAAAGGGGATTAATAGTCTCAATAGTTATAAAATTTCTTTACTGTCTTTCCTTTCAAAATGATCAGTTATGGGCTCTATTGCAACATACATTTGTAGCACTATTAGCCCTCATCTTTTGGTACGATCTTCAGCACTTTCTTCCCAACCCCCGACCTTACAGTTTATGTTGTACTAGTCCTGTCCTGTCCTATTACTCTTAAATCTGCATATGCCCACTTTTCTCAGTCTTGAATGTTTGTTGTTTATGTTTTATGATGTCTTAGATTTTATTGATTTTATTGTCTTACTATAGTTGATTGTTATAGGTTGATTGTTGTTGTTGATGTTGTTGTTGTTGTTGTTGTTGTTGTTATTATTATTATTATTATTATTATTATTATTATTATTATTATTATTATTCCCTGCCCTGGCTCCATCTTATGAACTCCATCTTATGAACTCCAAGTATTAACCAGAACCTCCCAGCTTAGCTTCCAAGATCTGTGGGATCTGATCTGATGCCTTTATGGTTTTAAGATCCTTAAAATGGAAATTAGAATGTTACAATTGTGTAGTATGAAAAGCCCCTATGTCTGCACAATTTCATCCAATTTTATATAGAAATAAAAATGGTAGATGTGTTGACAAAAAACAGTACACATACGAGAAACATTTAAAGATTACTTTCACAAATCCTATTTTTATTTGTCTCATATTTGGCATTTTCTTTAAGAGGAGCCTGAAAACGTGGTTGTTCCAGTGTGCCTTCCCAGAATAAGGAACCCTAAGCAACATGTCCCAAATCGCACTTTACTAATGATCTAGGATTGTCTGCTCGCTCCATTTCTCTCCAAATACCCATCCTAGTTATATGTCACCTTGTCATGCCCAGTATTTAAAAATTTTAATTATTACATTTGRCCCTGCCATAGGTTTTTTAATGTGTCATGGTGTTACTGTTATTGTTTATTGCTTTGTTTATGARTTATTTATTGTCTGTGTTGCTGTGTTGTTTTTATTGATGTATTTGGGCTCGACCTCTTGTAAGCCGCACTGAGTCCTCCGAGAGATGGTAGTGGGGTATAAATAAAGGTTTATTATTATTATTATTATTATTATTATTATTATTATTATTATTATTATTATTATTCCAAGGATAGTTGACTCAGAGTCCTCACAGAAATTCATTGAATCTCAGTCCTTACTGAAGCAGGGTCTGAATCCCATCTCCCCTTTAGTGAATACTTCATTAATAACTTCTACACCTCTATTATGTGGAAATGAAGATTATGTACACAAAATGAAATGAAAAATCTGCTCTACTCAGCTAACCTCAGCTAACTCATTAAGACCTTTGAAGAGCTAAGTGGAACAGTTTCTCCTTGTTGTAGCATTCTGTAGACTAATTCCTACCTAGCACACCAATTATTTTACCCTCCTCTTTCAAAAGAATTTCTTTTTCTATTATTATTTTTTGCCTCACTCACCAGTCTACTCTAAAATGAGACTCTGATCAATTCTGATCAAATCATTTATATTCATATCACAGCGTATAGCTGAGTTGTTAAAGAGTTGCTGGATAAAATTCAGAATATAAAAATAAGTCAACTGTCACATTCCCCCGCCCACCCTGTATTGCAGATCTTTGTAATCTGCCAGGCGGTCTTCACATGCAAAAAGGAATGATGTGGATGATTTAGAGTCTTTGTGATTAATGAAATATTCCACAAAGAATTTCCCTGCCTTCAACTGTGTGCTTTATTTTTCTTGGCCAGCATTTTTTTATACTCTGAGCACTACAAATAACCTGTAGCTTTGGTATTGTTCTAATCTAGATAACAGCTGTATTTCTTTAGAAAAATGTGCTCTATCAGTGATAGTTTTAATTTTCCCTGTTATGTAACTCATAAAAAAACTTTCCTTTTACATGCAATATTTGTGGAAATGAAGACATGATACTTCTCACTGGGCCATAGTTTTACAATACCATCAGAATCTCTAAATGGCCATGCATGACTCATGTTCTGTGGAAAGAGATATTTTCTGAAACAACTGGAATATTTTGCTTTCATGGGATATTCCAAATTTATCTCAAAATCTAATTTTAATGTAATATTGGGTAACATAAGGATGCAATTGTTACTACTTCTATAAAATGAAGATTCAGAGGGTTTGATGGTAGTAGAAGTTAAGGAGGGAACAGAAGGGAATATTTTGCAAGGAAGAAATTAGGGGTGCAGTTGGGAACAAAATTAATGCCCTAAGAGTTCAAGACAATTTTAGTCCTATTATGCTAAGCATGACACTCCCTTAAAGACAGATACTGCTATGTGTTTAATCAGGATGTTTTAATTAATTATACTAGTGGAATATCTTCATCCTTTGTCCCAAAAATATTGGTAGTCAATCAGAAACCATTTTTGGCTTCCTTCAAAATTTGTGAAAAATATTTAACGATAGAATAAACAAATGTGGCTCAGAACTTTGGCTTGTGAATTGGCCTCAACATTTTGTCAGTGTTTATGGTTTTCATCTCCATTCAAGTAGTCAATTTGAAAATGAAAATC